TGTTCATCCAGCTCTACACCTTGTTATCTCAGATTCTCCAGCATCTGCAGTTCCTACTGTCTCTGAAACCATTATAATCTTTGTTGTTGTTGCATTTTCTTTGGGTGTCGGAAGTGGCTCAGTTTAGTATCACTTTTTCCTTGGAGTCAAGAGCTGAATGCAGAACCCAAGCTGACATTCCCGTGCAGCATTGTAGCCATACTGTGGTTTTGGAGCTGTGTCTCTCAGATCAGATGTTCAACTGAGATTTCTTCTGCCCTCTCAGCTGGGTGGAAATCTGAGGAAAGATTTGAAAAGTAAGAGAGTTCTTTTAGATATCCTGGACAACATTGAGCCTTCAGTGAACATCACCAGAATCAGATTGTCTGGTCATTATCACATTGCTTTTTGCAGGAGCTTGATTGTGCTCTAAACTTCACAAACCCATGATTGGCTGTGTAAAGCTTTGAGATATCATGAGGTTCTGGAAGAAGCTATATAAATGGATGCAATTTGTTTCTTTTCCTCTGAAAAGACGTTGCACTTCACTGTCTCATCACTTCTTTGTCTTACAGAACAAGCAGGGCCACCTAACGTGACTTCAGCAAGTGCTTCCGTTATCAGGTCCTCTGCAGACACCTTGAGATTCTCCAGTCCCTCATCTCTCATTGTCCCGCCTGCAAAACTGAAAACCAATGGCACAGTCTCTTCCAGCAATCTTCCTGGAGTGGACAACAAGCCACCACAGGCTATTGTGAAACCACAGATCCTCACTCACGTCATTGAAGGCTTTGTTATTCAGGAGGGACTGGAGCCATTCCCTGTGAGTAGACCTTGTCCTGTTCTGCATCATTAGTAATGACCCTAGCTATTTTTCCCTCCCATCTGCTTACTTCATAAAGGTCCTTATTCATGCTAGAAGATTGAGCCTGCAACAACGACCGTGTGCATCATGTATTGACTAAAGGTTAGCAAAATACCCCAAGGTGCTTCACAGGAACATCACCAAACAAAGTTTGAGACCAAGTCATTTAATGCAATGTTAGGACACTTGACTAAAAGCATGGTCACAGAGAGAGATTTTAGGAAGTGTCTTTAAGGTGGAGATTGAGGGAGGAAATTCCAGAGCTTGGGGTCTAGGCCCCTGAACGTGAGGCCTGGGCAAGGGTTGCAAAACACGGGGACCTGTGCTTTAGGGAGTCTGGGCTTCTGTCTTCAAGTGGGCATAATAAAGGTAATAGGCTTTCATGCATTAACTATGTGGCATTGCAACACATGGCTGCCTGATTGTGCGCTTGCTACATGTTTCCAGCTGGGCAAGGAGAACTGCTTGTTAATTCACCAGATTCGAGCTCAAGGGAAGCAGTGAGGGAAGGTGGAGATTGTGGTGGTGACAAAGTGCATAGCAAAATCTCTCTGACCATCACATAGACGGAATATAGGAGCTGAGATTTATCAGTCTCGTAACCAGGTCATTAATGTAGAGCACATAAAGGCTGCGAAAGGTTTACTGTCTCTGCCATGGCTGGGGATGGGTGGTGTGGTCGATCAGAAGGAAGAATAAGGCCAGTGAAATTTCTTTGATAACTGTACTGGGAAGCCTGAATGCGAAATTGAAGTGGTTAGTCCAGGTAATGCCAATAATTATCTGACTATGACAGGACTGGTGCACCCCAGAAAGTCCACAAGCCCTGATTTCTTGTATTGGCCAGAGACCTCTACCTTGTGGAGGCTAAGTGCCAGCCCTAAGGCACCTCCTGCTATCTCCCCTGGACCATGACCCCACGATTGAACACCAGGCTATTGTGTCCACCACGGCCGCTGATCTCATTTCATCTGGGGATCTCCCTTCCACTGCCTCCAATCTCATAGTCGCTCAATCCCTCACAACCTGCTTCTACCGCCTTCCCAAAATCCACCAACAGGACTGCCCAGACAGACTCATTATTTCTGCCTGTTCCTGCCCCACAGACACCATCCCTTCATACCTCGACTCAATTTTTTTCTCCCTTTGTACAGTCTCTTCCCACTTACATCCATTTTATGTCAGTTTCAGAATTCAGTTTGTGGGCTCCAGCAAAGCTGGAGCACTGCTGCAAGCCCAAGACAGAGATGTTGACCAGGAACATGGTGGCGTGTTGAAGTGGCAAGCAACAGGAAGCTCAGGGTCATTTTTGGCGACAGAATGCAGGTGTACTGCAAAGCGGTTGCCCAGTCCGTGTTTTGTCTCCAGTGTACAGCAGATCACATTGTGAGTAGTGAATGCAGCAGACCAGATTAAGAGAAGTGCTGGTAAATCACTGCTTCACCTGGAAGATGCCTGGGACCTTCGATAGTGAGGAGGGAGGAAGTAAATGGTCAGGTGTTGCGCTTCCTGTGATTGCAAAGGAAGGTGCTGTGGGGGTGTGGGGAGGCGTTGGGAGTGGAGGAGGAGTGGAGCAAGGTGGACAGAGGGAACAGTCCCTGTGGATGGCTGACAAGGGAGGGGAGGGGAATATGTGTCTTTTTCTTCTCTCTCCTCACGGCAGTAATTCTATCCCCCCACCCCCCCGACCTTTAAACTACCTACCAAAGGAGTTGGGTCGCAACCAGGAGCCGTGTGGCAGAAGCCGAATGCATGGGCCATGTCCCTTAGTGACGGCAGATCGCGTGTGGGCCGGAGAGACGGCGGTGCATCAAGAGTGGGCCACTTTGGCGACGAGAGTGGGCCACTAAGGCAGCAGCACTTGGCGGCGAGAGAAGGCTGGAGAGGTGGCAGCAGGTGGCAGCGAGAGTAGGCCACTGAGATGGCGATGGCGGTGAGAGTGGGCCTTTCGCATGGCAGCAGCGGTGGCAGCCTCCTGGGTGTTCTAGCGATTGGAGTAGTGCCTGCACCATTATGGAGATGGGATTTGTGACTCTGAGATCTGGACTTTTCTTTTTTTTCACTTGCTTACCTTTTGGCTCTGTTAAATCTTTTTATTCTGTTTTTCGTAATCCAGTGGGCGCCAGTGAATGGTGACTTTGTGCACTTTTCGCTTTACTCGTGTATTTCTATACTTAGTACATGTGACAGATAAATCTAATCTAATCACTTCCCCTGGCAGCTTGTTTCATACGCACACCGCCCACTGCATGAAAAAGTTACCCCACAGGTCCTTTTTAAATTTCCCCACTCACCTTAAACGTAGTCTAGTTTTGGACTCCCCCACCAAAGGAAAAAACCCTCCTGTCCCAGCAAAGATAATATTCATTCAAGATTAACCAGATACTGTTGAATTACTCTAAATGTTATCAACCTGTCCACTAAACAGGTATCTTTCTCCTGCCCCTCGCTCAACCTCTGCCATTGCCTGAGGAATGATAACCTTAAGGTTAAACCACAACCAGACATCTCTCTCTAATGAGAGAGCAGCACTATGGTCTCGTAAGACGATGGCGACTCTACCTTTAATATCTGGATAGGGTGAGATTATGAGCATACATTAAGTTAAATTAGAAAGGCACGATTGCAGGGCTTTGGGAAAGGAGCAGGGTGAATGGATTGCTCTTCCAAAGAACTAGCCTCGTAGAGAAGAGCTGAATGGTCTCCATTAGCATTGGAAGATTCCTTGATTGCATATTTTAGTGACATTATGGTACCAAGTCACTGCTAATTGATTTTTAAGGATTCGCTCTAAGCTAGTTGACAAGGAGCCATTATTATCTGTAAACTGGGCTGATGTTCTAGTTTCTCCCACTTTGGAACAACCTTTCAACCTTTCAAGCCTCTTCCACCATTCAGTGAGGCTGTCATTATATTGTTTGGTTCCATCAGCTTGCCTTCGTCTTGTAACTTCCATTATCTTTGTGTATCAAAAATCCATCAGTTTCAGTTTTGATATTTCGTTTGACACCCCCCTCCTCCCCTGTGCCTCAATGTTTTTTAAGAGAGTGTTTCAGATTTCCATTAGAATTTGTGTATAGATGCACAACGTGATATCACCCTTAAATGGCCTAGCTTTGACTTTGAGATTGACTTCTTGTTCTGGACCCCTCACACCATCAGTAAATGGTCTTGTCATTTTCTAACCTACCAACCCCTTTCATCACCTTCAGCACAATTAGATCTACTACTCTTAAGGGAATTGAACGCAGTCTGTGTAAGCTGGCCTCATTAACACTTCTAGCAGCCAATGCTTCACATTGTTTCAGTTTCGCTGAGGTAATTGTGTTAAATTGACTTGAATCTCCTTCTTTTGACAGGTGAGCCGCTCCTCGCTGCTGACGGAGCAGCCAGTGAAACAGAAGATGCACTGCGAAGGTCCAGCCACATCGCCCACTTCTGTCCAGTCAGTAGGTGAGCTCCAGAGCAACTCAGGCAAACAGCTGGAAGGGTCTCTTGACAGCGATTTGGATGACCTTACTGGTGAAGGTTTGTAAACCATTTTGCAGGGTGTGGGGAATAAAGCCAAAGGCACAATTTGGACAAAGATGATAATTGCTGACCTTTATACATCCTACCCAATTTTCTGTCACATTTAAAGAACTTTAAAAGTAGACAATGATAATAAGTGGGAAGTCTAATTGCTTGGAACTACGTTGAATTTTGCAGACCATTCATCCTAGCTAAAATCTAAACAGAAATCGCTGGAGAACCCCAGTGAGTCTGGCAGCGGCTGTGAAGAGAAAGCAGAATTAATGTTTCTAGTCCAGTGACCCTCCTTCATCCTAGCTGATCCACAGTTGGGTTCCTCTTCCCACCCTCTCCTTGGATTCCATGAGCATGATCTTCTATTCCATTTTCCTTTATCTATCCTGCTTCCTCTTAAATAGCCTTTGCTATCTGCCTCAATTCTTCCCAGCAGCAACAAGTTCAACATCTCTGCAGTCTCTAGGCAAAGAAGTTTTTTTTTTATCTTTGAAGACATTTGAGGTTGAAATAGATTTTAAGTCACACATAGATTCAAGGGGAGCAGATGGGAAAGTGGAGCCAAAGATCAATTTGATCTATAGAATGGCAGAGCATGCTCAAAGTTATGAATGGTCTACTCCTGTGTCCCATTTCATATGTTCACCCAGATTCCTTGTATTCATTAATGACCATCTTACATTTATGGTCTCTAGTTTTCTTTTCCACCATGAATGGAAACAAAGATTCTATCTCCGAACTATCTGATCCTTTTGTAACTTTAAGGACTCCCAAAAGGTCACGTTTCAGCTTTCAGTTTCCCAACCCATTCGGTTTTATTTGATTCTTTCTCATTACTACTTAGAAATCTATGATAGTTAAATGATTTTTGTGACAAAAGGAGCTCAGAGCAGGTTGGGACTTCTTTGTAGATACTCAATAGAATCCAGTATTTCTTGAGAAGGTCTCAGGATCTTTTTCTAACATTAGTCCCAGGTTTTGACTGGAGTACTGTGTCCAGTAATAGGCACCATACTTTGGGGAAGATGTCAAGGCCTTAGAGAGGGTGCAAAGGAAATTTGCTAGACTGTGATGAAGAATGAAAGTCAGTGAGTTTGCAGCGTGGAAGGAGGCCCTTCTGCCCAAAATGTCCATGCTAGTTATTAAGTTTCTATCAATTTTAGTGCCAATTGAGACTTGAGTTATATTGGAGAATTAGAGAGAAGTCCAGATCATTCTTTTTAGAGCATTGAGGTGAAGAAGAGATTTGTAGAGCTGTTAAAAGTTAGGAAGAGTTTATTTTAAATACTGAAATGTTTCCAATTACAGAAGGGCAAGTAACCAGAGATAAGAGATTTTAGTTAATTGAAAAAGAACCAAAGGGATGATGGAGTTAGTGTATTCTTTTGCAAACTAGGTATGGTCTAAAATGAGATAACAAGGTGTAGAGCTGGATGAACACAGCAGGCCAGGCAGCATCAGAGGAGCAGGAAAGCTGATGTTTCGGGTCTGGACCCTTCTTTAGAAATGGGGGAGGGGAAGGGGGCTCCGAAATAAATAGGGAGGGGGGAGGCAATGACAGAAGGTGGATAAAGGAGCAGGTAGGTGGAGAGAAGACGGACAGGTCAAGGAGGCGGGGATGAAGCCAGTACAGGTGAGTTAGGATGGGGGTTGGTCAGTGAGGACGGAGGGGGGGGTAGGTGGGAGGGAAGACGGACAGGCCAAGGAGGTGGGGATGGGGCTAGTATGTAGGAAGTAGGGGTGGGGATTGGTCAGTGAGGTGGAAGGAGCAGATAGCTGGGAGAAAAGACAGACAGGTCAAAGAGGCGGGGACGAGATCGGCTGGTCTTGGGATGAGGTTGGGGGTGGGGAGATTTTGAAGCTTGTAAAATCCACATTGAGACCATTGGGCTGCAGGGTTCCCATGTGAAGCTCAAACAGTTCATCCAAGTTACTAACACCTTCCACCCCAACCTTAAGTTCACCTGGACCATCTCTGATACCTCTCTCTCCTTCCTGGACCCCTCTGTCTCCATCTCTGGTAACCAGCTGGAAACTGATAACTATTTCAAGCCCACCAACTCCCACAGCTACTGAGAATACGCCTCCCCTCATCCACCGACTGCAAGAATGCCATCCCCTATTCCCAATTCCTTCGCCTCCGCTGCATCTGCTCCCAAGATGAGGCGTTCCGCTCCCAAGATGAGGCGTTCCACTCCCAGACATCCCTGATGTCCTCGTTTTTCAAGGACTGCAATTTCCCCTCCACAGTGGTCGAAAATGCCCTTGACCGCATCTCTCGCATTTCCCGCACCTCAGCCCTCACACCCCCTCCCCGCAATAACAGAATTCCCCTTGTCCTCACATATCACCCCATCAACCTCTGGATTCAATGCATCATTCTCCGCCACTTCCGCTACCTGCAATCTGACCCCACTACCAAGGATATATTTCCCTCCCCACCCTTATCTGCCTTCCAGAGGGACTGCGCTCTCCTTAACTCCCTCATCCGCTCCATACTCCCCACTAGCCCCACCATCCCTGGCACTTTTCCCTGCAACCGCAGAACTGCTACACCTGCCCCTACACCTCCCCCCTCACCTCCATCCCAGGCACCAAGAGAACCTTCCACATTAAATAGATGTTCACCTGCACATCCGCTGTTCCCGATGTGTCCTCCTCTACATCGGGGAAACCAAGCACAAGCTCGGAGACCGCTTTGTGGAGCACCTAAGCTCGGTTCGTGACAAACGACAACACCTCCCAGTCGCGAACCACTTCAACTACCCCTCCCAATCCTTGGACGACATGTCCATCCTGTGCCTTCCCCATTGCCACAACTCTCATATTCCACCTGAGAACCCTGCAGCCCAATGGTCTCAATGTGGACTTTACAAGCTTCAACATCTCTCCGCTCCCGGCCTCATCCCAAGACCAGCCCATCTCGTCCCTGCCTCCTTGACCTGTCCGTCTTTTCTCCCACCTATCCGTTCCTCCCATCTCACTAACCAACCCCCACCCCCACTTCCTACCCACTAGCCCCATCCCCGCATCCTTGACCTGTCAGTCTTCCCTCCCACTCACCGTCCCACCCTCCTCACTGACCAACCCCCATCCCGACTCCCTACCTACACTCACCTGTACTGGCTTCATCCCCGCCTCCTTGACCTGTCCATCTTCTCTCCACCTATCTGCCCTTCTATCCACCTTCTATCATTGCCTCCCCCTCTATTTATTTCAGAGCCCCCTTCCCCTCCCCATTTCTGAAGAAGGGTGCAGACCCGAAACATCAGGTTTCCTACTCCTTTGATGCTGCCTGGCCTGTCATGTTCATCCAGCTCTACACATTGTTATCTCAGACTCCAGCATCGGCAGTTCCTACTATCTCATGGTTTGAAATGAGCTGCCTCACAGAACTGTGGATGCAGATTCAGTTGTAACTTTTAAAAGGGAATTGGATAAAATTTTGAAAAGGGAAAAAGCAGCACCCCTATAATGTAATGGCACATGAGTGGCACTAATTAGAGAGCAATTCTAAATTTTAATAAGCATGATAGACCAAATGACTTGCTTTGCTTGCTGTATTGTTCTGTGAGATCCATTTTCAAATCTTACATTACAAACTTTATGCATGGCAACTTCAGAGCTGTATTTGCAATATTTAAGGGAGAACTGGCCAGCTTGGAGCAAGTGTCATTGCCATATCAATTAAAATTCACAGAATTATTTTCAACACAGGGAGAGGCTGTTCAAAGGGGGCACTCATGTCAAATTCTATCCGGGGAGATTGAAGTGGGAAATGGGTCTCATCTCACCCCTATTCCGTCTTTAATTGGACTGCATAAGTTCTTTGTCGACTCTCTTCATTTTGAACAGTTAACCTTGAGCTAATCTTAAAATGAGGAAATTATGAGTAAGGTGGGATGATAAGCTAGAACCCAAGAGGGAGCCCCGTACTTTATCAGAAAAACTCATTGTTATCACTATTTGTATATTATGTTCAAAGAGGAATGAATCCCTCTTGGATTTTGTCTTTCTCCGCCTGATGAGAAATGTTGTTATCAGAAATGTGCTGTTCGCAAAATCATGGACTTAAGCCAGTATTTTGTTGATGCATGTCATGGTGTGCTTGGAGTCTCCTTGAGTTTTACCATTGGCATGTATGTTGAAGTAGAAATGGGAAGATGGATCTGAAGGAGTGCAAGATCAGTAAATAGTTAGATGAAATAGAACAGCCTGTTTTTACCTAATGAGTTAGCTCATGGAATTATTCTTTCATTTCTATCATAATTTCAGAAGGGATGGAGGGCAGTGATCCAGACATGCTAAAGTGTGAGTTCTGTGGGAAGATGGATTATGCTCACAAATTCAGAAGATCAAAGCGTTTCTGTTCGATGTCATGTGCTAAAAGGTAGGAAACTCACATTTCTGTGTTTGGCATTTTTCTATGCTGATTATTCTGTTGAAAAGGCTTATGTTTTTGTAATTAAACAATTAATATAGCTTTATACTGTAAACATATCCTTTTATATGTAGCTTTTTTACAAATATGTCCACACATGTCCTCTATTTGTTTAAAAGTATTTAGAGTGGGAAGCTGAGTACTGTTTGCAACACTAACCGCTTAACCTGTTCAAGCAACATTCCTTTTTAATTCATTAACAGGATTTTTTTTCACTCATGGGATGTGGGCATTGCTGGCTAGCCAGCATTTATTGTCTGTCAGCATCTGTGGAGAGAAATCAGAGTTAATGTTTCGGGTCCACTGCGTTCTGAGAATGGGTCACTGGACCCAAAACATTATCTCGGATTTCTCTCCACAAATGCTGCCAGACCTGCTGAGCTTTTCCAGCAATTTCGTTTTTGCTTCGGTATCCGCAGTTCTTTTAGTTTTTATTTATTGTCCATCTTTAATTTCTCTTGAGAAGGTGGTGGTGAGGTGGCTTCTTGAAAGGCTGCAGTCCGTGTGTTCCAGATAGAATTCATAATTGGGATTTTTTAAAAATTCACTTGTGGGGTATGGCTAGTTAGGAGGGAATTGAAGAATCAACCACATTGCTGTCACACTTAGGCCAGGCCAGGTAAGGACAACAGCATTCCTTCCATACAGGTCAGTCGTGAACCAGATGGGTTTTTAGACAATCATCAGTAGCTACATGGTCATTAGCTCTCTATTCCAGATTGTAATTGAATTCAGATTTCACCATCTGCCATAGTGGAACTTCAGTCTATCTCCCACATTGGCCTGGAGTTTTGGATTGCTAGCCCAGTGACATAACCACTACTCCACTGCATCTCCTGAACCATTAACATAGCTGTTAACCCATTTAAATGAACAGTGAGAGGATTGTCGTATGAAAACATTAAGCAGTCTGTGGTGGAATTATAATTACCTGGCTCTAATTAAGATGGAGTTAATGTAATGAGTGAGAAAGGCCGTCAGTACTCATTGCTGGTGTGGACTTTGTCACTTCTTTCTTTATGTGATCAATTCCACTTGAATGTCTTCTGTGCGTTTAATCTATTGGCTCTTTTTATCCCCTTGAGTCAAGGTGGTTTGGCTAGGATGGAAACCAGCTGGCATTATTTCTGTCCAAAATAAATCTGATCTTCCCATCTCCCAGTCTTGAGCCAGCCTTATTAAGTGGGTGAGCTAGTAAAATAACTCTTGATCTGCTAGATAAAAACAGTAAAGTGAGTCAGCAGCATAAATTGAGTACTGGTAACTGTGTCTGACACATAGAATTGGGGTGGAGGTGGAGTTTGGGGAGGGGGGCAGTTGACAGGGGAGGATTGTGGTGTCTGCACTGATACAAAATACACTGGGTTCTCTTAATCAGGTGTTGTAACAGCAACTACAACTTGCATTTATATAGTATTTTGAAAGTACCAAAATGTTCCAACGTGCTTCAAGAGATCTTCGCCAAAATTTGGCACCAAGACATATTGGGACAGGTGATCAAAATTTTGATCATGGTGGTAGGTTTTAAGGAGCATCTTCAATCAGGAGTAAGAGACAGAGAGGTGAAGAGTTTCAGGGAGGCAATTCCAGAACTTAGGTCCTAGGCTACTGAGGGCATGGCCAGCCAATGTATGGAACAGGAAGGGATGGGAGTCAGAGTTAAGGCACTGCAGCATTCTCACAGGATTGCAAAGTTGGCAATAGTTGCAAAACTAGGAAACAGTGCACTCTTGAGTGTTCACAGTAACAGTTTAATGCCAACTGCCAAGAAAGGATTACATTCCAGCATACTTGAGTGTACTGGAGATCAGCCAGTTTTGCCATTATTGGTTCTTCTCAGAATAAATATGTTTCGCAGCTGATGCATTTGGTGCTGCGCTTGCGATTGTACAGAATGACTGAAGGGCCAAGTTTTCACTCCCAGGTTGGAAGCACAAAATTGTGAAAATTCTCACTATTCCAACAGGCAGTAAGTTCCATTGATCTTCAAAATTTTTTTCTGGGGACTGATGCTGTTAACAGAAGTTGAGTGAGTCAGCCACAGAGACTGTGGGTATAAAAATGGGTTTTTGTGAAAGGGCTGCCTCAATGCTCTGGGACTTCATCCAAGCTGTAAAACAAATTAAACCAGAAACAGTCTTCCAGTCCTCATCTCTCTCACCTCCTCATTCCCCGCACAGTGCTCTTGCACCATCCATGCCAACTCATGCCACCTTGTACCCCACCCTTGATGCCAGCTTATGCTTCTTAACCCACCACCACGGCCCTTTATAGCCTTTAAGTTCCCTGTGCCTATCTATCCATGCAACAGGCTTTTTATAGCCCCTATGCCAACCCAGATTCCTCAGACGCCTCCTTTTGCCATTACACCATCCATGATGACACATTCATTACTAACAGTGGGCAGACTCAGAGCATTTCTGAAATGGAATAAAATAAAGTTCTAAGTGCCTTTTGCAGACATTATTTTTAAAAAACACTTTAATAAACACCCACTCAATACATTCAATTCCCATCAAGTGCTTAATTTTTTATACACACACACACAATTAATCGATTCATATTTAAAATTTTGAGGGTCAATCAAACCATGAGTATACAAGCCCCATAATTATAGATTGTGGAATCAGCCATACAGGACTAATCCCATTATGGTAACCAGTGGACTTATATCAACGGATAGTTGCAAGAAGTGGCAGTAGGCAGGTTTTCAAAAAAGAATTAAAGAGCTTGGTTTTAATAATTTGGACATTCCACTTCTTATGCACGTTCGCGTCTACTTTAGCAATCATAATACTCCTGAAGGAGTCTCTAGTCCTAACCAAAAAGGTCCCTTATGTCTACGAATGGATGTCCTGGCTGTCCAAATTACTCCAGCAGCTTCTATTTCACTCCTGTCCCTGATGAAAATGGTAGATGACCCGCTCGGGGTGAGACTTCTAGAATCAAACCTCTGGCGCCATTTTCAATAAGTTGGAGACCCCTTCATTTTCATAACCATTATTTGTTCCAGCTGGCCAATGCCCATGTTGGCATTCCACACAAAACTACATCCCAGCTTACTTGATCCAACTCAATCTAAATAGCCTTCTGTCCTTCTCTGTCATACTTAAATAGTTTCAACTTCCATGCTCCTTATTGAACTATTGACTTGTTTTGAACGCCGTTGACTTTTTAATAACAATTCACTTTCCCTGACTAAAATGACTAGAAATAGATCAGTATCCATCATTGATTTAAAAGAAAGACAGTGTGTTCACGAGAACAAACTCCATCCAGCTCCACAAGACACCTGCTCAGAGGAAAAAGCAGCCTGATATGAGTGTTAGAGCTTCTGCTGCACACAAAGCGCTACAGCGATAGATTACAGATTGTTACCTGGATACACGAGGCTTGACCCTTTGTCCACGTTCCCAACTTCAACCCCAGCCTCATCCTCAAACCCAGGCTCAAGCCCAAGCCAACCACATCCCAAGCCCCAGTCAAACCTCAAATCTGACCATGTCCCCCCTCACCCTCAATGCAAACTCAACTTCAATACCGTCCATGATCTTGACTTCGAATGACAGATGCAGCCTCAAACCCACGTTTTTACAAATAGATCTATCTGATTCTCAAACATTTACTTATCTTTATAAATACACGGTTATACCAACTTTTACAGATGATCTGTAAGCAGATTGTATAGCTGCAACTGGATGTGGATCAGTGTTAAATTCTGAAATAATGACTCCATGTAAGCATGCAACGTAGAAGCCTGGCATTCAGCCCATTATGCCTTTGCAAACTCTGTAAGAACTATCCAATGAATTTCAGGTCCTGCTTTTACTCCATTGCTCTGAATTTTTTTCCTTTTTGAAATGTATGTCAAATTTTCATTTGGGAACTGTTGCTGAAACTACTTCTATCTCCCTTCGTGGCGGTATGTTCAATATCATTAAGTAAAGAATTGTCCTCATCTCCCCTCTGTTTCTTTTACCTGTCATCCTAAATAGTGGTTACTCTGGTTACTATTTCCCCTGTCAATGGAATCATTTTTCTCTTGATGTTCATTTACCTTAAATATGAGTGAGACAAAGTGAGAAAGTCAGAGAGGGAGAGAAAGAGAGAGAGACACTGACAAAATTGAACTTTGAGTGCTGTAGGTGTGATGCAGCAGCCACTTAAAAGAGACTGGTGAGCATTATCTATGTTTTATTTGTACAATTTTTCTGTTATAGTCAGTGATTTATTTTATTTTGCAAGTTATTTCAGCTGGGAATGCAGTGTGCTGCCCTTGTATGGTACAGTATTTCAACTTGGACATTGTTTTCTCTGGACATGAAAATGCTCAACGGATCCTAACTCCACCTTTAACATTAATTCCTTTCAGAACCCATAAATCATGTAAAGTCGCTTCACTTAATGTCATGATTTTCAGAGATATAAACATAACTTTGTGAGGACTACCCATATTCTATTAAATCTATGCTCAACCTTCTCTGGTCCAAGAAAAATAACCCTCGATTAAGTGAAAAAGATTGTACAAAAACCAGAACAACAAAAACCAGAACAATAGAGGCCTAGATATTGCTATCAGGGTTGGAAATTGTATTTCTGGACCCACTTTGTTTAAAACTTACCCACTTATCTTTAGATAACTCTTGTGCTGGAAATACCTGCATAGGATTCTTCTGTTAAAAACCTGTCCAGGAATCTATGAGCAAGCAGCAGTCAGTGCACCGGGTTGTATGATTTCAATGTCCAACAGCTCAACTATCCACTTTTCACACTAGCTACTGTGAAAAGGTAATTATATAAGGCAAGTAAGGGGATTGGAGTGCCAGGTGGGTGAGGTGGATACAATTCCAGGTAGGTAAGGTGCCGGCTAAGTGAATGGGTGCTTAGGGTGGTTGTGGAGGTGGGTGTTGGGGTTGTCAGGGTGGGGGTCAATTTAGGTGGGTGAGGGT